TTTACAGTCCGCACTTTGACTTTCAGATACGGAATTACTTTACACTGAATGATGTGCATTTATTCACTACATACTGGTGTAATCCACCTCTTGTGCCATTAAGCATCCAACTCACCACCAATGCTTCTTTTCCATTAGCCCCAAACGACACCACACGGCCTCCATTGAGTTTCCTTTCCAACAGGCACGCAGCGGGATGGAAGTGGAATTAACGGAACTGTGCTAGCTTGCGCTGCACTATTCTTACTCGTAGCATGTCATAACATTTCACAGGAGGCAGGTTTTACCCAATGGTTAGGAGATTCAAAATATGAATTGCTGTTGCTTGATGCGGAGACGTCGCAAAGTACAGGCCATCAAATGCACAGAAGCGTTCACGTATAATCGAAAAATCTATTTCCGGCGAGCCACAGCCGCCCAATGGACGGCTGCCTTCAGGAGAAAACATCCACATTAAACTATATTATGTAATATGAATGAAATGGTGCGATCGTGATTTCCCAAGTGGCACGCAAAGCTCACCAGCCGCGCTCAGTCATTCTGAACAAAGAGCTCAGCCTCAGTCATTTGGGCGTCTCTCCAAGTCAGGGACCCGTTCCCCTCGTTCTCCGGTGTCTGAACCCCCCCGGCGAAAGCCGCTATCCGCGACACGGACGCCACGACTGTCGGGCCGGGGGAACGGCGACGCTCCGCTCTACAGCTGGAGACCTCGCATTTGAATGAATGTGAATGTGCGACCCAGCAAGCGGTTTGAGCGATCGCAAAAATCTTTACTCCCAAGTGTCAAAATGCAATCCATTAGTAGACATGAAATTGTAAATATGATTCAGCGTTGTTGGAAAATACTATTTCTGTTTATTTTATATCCTGCATTTTTATGACTTTGGTGATAGCTGGAGGGCGGCTCTGCCTTGCTCGCGTAAAACCAGGAAACGACTGTGTACATCGCTGTCAGATGACAGTGACAAACACGGCCCCACTTGCCGCCGGAGGGCCGTCGCTTTAGAACCACTTCAGAGTTGGTTCTGAAAAGCCGTTCCATTGTAACCGCTCGGCCCCAAAAAAGTCTTAACGGAAAAAGGACCACTCGGGCCCAAGCAAGCAAGTCATTGTGTATGCGACTTGGTCTTACTGCACTGGCACGTCCTGCGCTTGTCTTTACCTATTAATTAAGACACAGCTGATTCATCATGTCAATTAGTTATGACCCGCCCGCTTGGCCATCACTGGCTGTGGATGATCACATTGCGTTGCTTGTCCAATCAGTGCTGCAGGAAATTTAGCTCGCTCAGTAGCCAGCGTGGGACTGTCGTGATATTACGTCATCTTTTTTTGTATCTTTTAACACATGCTATGTCGAGCAAAAAAAAATGAAGTGGTCAGACGAATATGAACCACATGGATTCACATGCATCACGAAACGTGATGGGACTCAGCGTCTTATCTGCATGATTTGTCATGCCAACTTGAGCAACTCTCGTCTCGCACCGGCAAAACTTCTCCAATCATATTTTTATTTTTCACTAAGGGTTCGGTGCATCTGCATATGAACTGGTTGGGTACACCGGCAAAACTTCTCCAATCATATTTTTATTTGTATTTTTCACGAAGGGTTCGGTGCATCTGCATATGAACTGGTTGGGTTCGGTACCTCTATCAAGGTTAAGAACCACTGCTCTAGACCAACAGGCCCATGTGGTATTTATATAAAACAAGACTGGCAGCAAATGTTAACACGCCTGGGGGTTAAAAAAAAAAAAACCACAGTGGAGTACAGCATGCAGGTTAACCTCCACGGCAGACTCTCCTTCGAACACCTGAGACTGATTCACCGAACCCCTGGGGTTCGATCGAACCTTGGTTAAGAACCACTGGTCTAGAGTTTCATCATGGGTCCATAAACAGGTGAGCTGTGCACCCTGGTGACCCATCCGCATGGCCCAAGTGTTAATAGGATTAAACAGCTCTGCTTGCACTGTGCTCTTTGGTGCTCTTTGCGCTAAATACATGTACACTGTTCTAGCATTGACAACATCATTCTGGAATTCAAAGTATGCACTAGTTAGCGGAGTGCATCCTGCCATTGTCGACATTTTTGTCATTATTTTCATATTAAGCACGGTTGAATCAGCTTTCGTTTACGTTTCTCCCTCAGTTTCCCTCCCCACTCAGGTGTGGGTGTGAACTGAGTGGAAAGGGCTTATTATACCTCTCCTTTCGAGCCTGATCGCTTTCTTTCGGCACATTGGACAAAGGAATGTGCGGAATGCTGCATCAACCTTCACATCCATCTGATAAAAGCTGCAAGGCCCTGGTGCGGCGGAGCCTCATGTGGGTTCACGCTCAAGACTGGACAAGACCCACTACCACAAGAATGTGCACCGTATCCACATTGGTTAGCCCAATCAGACGCAGATGCTGCATTTGACTGGGCCCCGAGTTGCTGTGATAGATGTCTGACTGAGGCATTCGAGTGAAACGATCAACACCAGTCATAAAGCTCTGGATGACATGTTTTCTGCAGAGGCCGCACAATGAACGATTGAGTCAGTACACTGTTGGAGCAGAATTGGACTTTGTCCTCTGGCTTCAAGTCCCGGTATGGAATGGAAAAGATTAGTCTCTCGCTTGGCTTACAGTGCGTGTTTTCAATTTGAATGCTTCTATCACTTTGTGAACCGCACTCTTGGTGACACAAGCAAACACACTCTGTCATCCTCATGCAACACTCAATTCTGCCCTCTACATGGAAAATCTCCTTTTCCCTTTAAAATGGGAAATTGTTAGTTAAGCGAAAAACTGAACGTTTTCATTGCACGGTTTAGAGCAAAGGTGTCAAAGTCAAGGCCTGGGGGCCAGATCCGGCCCGTCACATCATTTTATGTGGCCCACGGGAGCAAATCATGTGTGTCAATTTTCATGATCCTTGCTGAAATCTGTACCGAAATGCCAAATTGTAATGGGAAAGAAATAACGTTGAGATTTTACATCGGCCCTCCGATGGAAGCCGTAACTCTGAAGTGGCCCGCGACAAAAAATGAGTTTGACAGCAAAGAGCGAATAAAGACAGTTTTAAAATACAAAGTACTTGACAACACGGTTATTTCATGAGTGGCTAACAAAAGCAACCATAACGCAACTGAGATATATTCTTGTTTTTTTAATGTCATCATTTTATACAGTTTCCTCCTACTTTGGTGGCTATGTTTCTCATGCAAATGCCAACTGCTGAGTCAACATGGTCCAAAACGTGGTCTCAGAAAGTTGCAGAGTCTACAAGTATTTTGAAGGGCCTCAGGCAGTATGGTTTCTTTGTCAGTATAAGAAAGCTTTCTCGGAACGGGTTATTAAAATTAATTATGCATTGACACTGATTCCATTTATTATTATTATTTTTTTTTAGTGCTTACAAGTATGTTTAAATCACACGGTCCACACCGTCATTGGTATTTTTTTTCCCCTTTCCTCGAGGCCTTATCTTTTAAGTGACAGTCATCGTCAGTGAGACCTTGTTCAGCATGTCTGCGCCAGGTGCAGATTATTTTGAGAGGGCCGTGATATTTCAGCTCATTTGCGCAGACATGAGCTACTCACTGGGCTTAGTGCTTTAAATAGGCAGGAGGTCCCAAGTGGTTTATGGTAAACCAGCCAATTTCAGCATGTGTCCTATGAACACGATGAATGTGCAGGATTGGTCAGAACATGGGTACCGGTGTTCATTTTATCCAAGGATTTTCTGGGGATTGGATCTGTTTCTTATTGGTGAGTTATCGCCTTTTCAAATAGGGTGCCAGATTGCAATCACAGTTGCCACAATCATTTTGGGATGAGAATATTGGGGGAAAAAAATCATGACTTTGATTATCGTCACTCAAGTGATACTGTCAGGCAAGTTTGGTGATCCGAGCCCTCCCCCTGTCGCGGTCTATCATTGCTCTTGTTCACTAACTATCTTTGTCTACTTCACGAGCACGCGCTGCTGTGGATGGACACATCCAACAGGTGCAGCAGGAATGTGAGTACAGAATCTGACCTTTTTGTGGAGCCTATTTTAAAAGTTTGAATTGAATGATAGATGTATTTGGTCACGCTTTTCAATGTTTTATTGGCGTTGACGTCGGTAGAGTGTCGCTTTACCTCCGTATTACAAGGTAGCTATGAGCCTAACATTATAGGTTGCACTTCAACTTAGTAGTTTCTGTTGCACCAACAGACGATTTATTATGCCTACTCATTGTAGACACTCAGTGGGATGAACTGAGGGATGTGGGCTGAGATGACGGTCTGAAGAGGGATAGTTCCTCTTTCACGAAGAATGTTTTTTTTTTCTCTCTCATGTGCATATAAAAAGATTTCTGTGGATAAACAATTTCCAGATGATATTCAGTGTACGAATTTTACCCATTAGTTATTTTTTCTTTGTCTTCCGTTCCTTGTAATTCAAAGGTGCCAACTGTAAGTGTTCCTAATGTCTTTTTGTCAAAGTATGCAGCCGGTGACTGTGACCTATTCTTGACCGGCTGACGGTGCACACACAGTGTGATGTCAGAGGCTATTTTATTCTCGCATTCCGTTGGCCACTAAGCAGTGTGGCCCAATCCCTGCCCTGGACAGGGTTCAGAAACACCTCGACCCCTTTGTTCGGAACAATCACATGGATTCAGATCCACGTTTCTGAAAGGCGGAGGCTAAGTGGAAGAGGGCAGGTAGCAATTCAGTGACAGCAGAGTTGTATTTATAGTGAAGGACTGATGGGCAAAGAATGTTGGGGATGTTTTGGAAAGGTCAGGCAGTACATTAAGCCATCATGATGGTGTTAGGAAGTGAATTGCCTTTTGGTGACAGGCTGTAATGAGAGCCAGCCATCAATAGGCTACTGTTGTACGTTTACAGCCTGACAAACAACCACGTAAAAAAAAAACACATAAAAATGAGCATGTAACTGGTGTCTTGTTAAGACCGTGATGATGAAAAATGCTGATGCACACTTTTTCTTGCAGATGCGTTATTGGCTGACCTGGAATCGACCACGTCCCACATTTCAAAGAGACCAGTGTTTTTGCCAGATGAGACACCCTACTCCATCCCCACTAGCGGGAATTATTACCAGGATCAATCAGTTCCACCTCCAGTCCCTCCGCCGCCCACAGCTGAAGCGCTGAATGGTTCGCTGCAAGACCACTCCGATCATTCCTCTCAGCAGGTGCACATCTCTAGTGTGGCCTTACTTTTACTTCGACTTATACTTAAACATTTCTCAAACACAGACATGATTTTTAAAGAGGAAACTAAGATGAATCAAACAAAGGAACCTTAAATCTCGCTTAATTTGATGTTTTATCTGTGCAGGATGGTTTAATCATTAAACTTCAATGGATTGTAATCAGGAAAGCTTGAAAAACGCCCGTGATTGCTTTTGAGTCTGTGCGCATAACTGGTTTCAAAATGACTGCAGTCTTTAGGTTCAGTCCAGAAGAACCCATGGTCGAGGGACAGTAGCAGCTCTCCGTCTCATATCGAGGAAGACCACGTCTACAGGTGAGCTTGCTGCTCTCTTGGCATCTACAGCGCATCACAGTAGGGCTTTTGTTGCTTCGGTTAACACTTGTTTGTCTCTCTCAGCTTTCCAAACAAACAAAAATCATCCGACTCGTCAACAGCAGCCATGACCTCCGCCCTGGGCAGCAACTTGTCGGAACTTGACAGACTGCTTCTGGAGCTTAATGCGGTTCAACAGAGCTCCCCTTCATTCCCCACTACAGGTACATTCAAGGGTTTCCTCTTCATCAGGCCTGTTAA